AGAACATCAAAATTATACTTAAATCTACTTCAACAAGAACAGGGAAGATAATAAATTACGAAACTAATGTCTTCTTTTAATCTTACTTTTTGATAATGGACAGACAATAACAGACTGGACCGGCAACTTTTCAACAAAAGATGAAACAATTTAAGCAAGATGCACAATTTAAGCAGGATTTTATGAATCCATTATCCTTGTGTCTGCACTGGAAATTTATTTCTGGCCTTGCTATCGAGACGGGTGGAGTAATTTCTGCCCTTCTACCAAGTCTGGATTCAATTGAGCTAAAAATGCCGATTTCTTTTGCTGAACAAGACAATAACTTAGATAAGAAACTCAAAGATAAATACAAAGACCTCTGAGCAATTTACAGGTCCCTTCAGCTGCACAACATTATTATTCAGCGATCCATTTATGTTGGTATTATCCTCCTTTCACTAATCTCTACAAAACAAAATGAAATGAAACCATTTTGGCCAGAATCCTTAATCTCATTTGAAAAGCAGCAATCTGAATAAAAGCAGTCACTGTGTTTTTTATTCATGTAAAATATATTCATCTGGCATTTGTTTAGTCTAAGAACTCATGATGTCCTAAATCATAGATGTCTAAGTATTTTTCTCAAGAGCTAAGATCTAGTAGCTTTTGACAACCTGTTTAACTTAATGGCTTTATATTGATGTACCAATAAAACCTTTCCTGACTGTGGATCCCTTAAGGTCAGGGGGTATACATAGCTGTGCAGACTGTTTCATACTCCCACCACCCTTTGCGTAGGGAAGGGTTTCTTGTTCTCATTGTTAAATGCACTCCTATGCACCGTCCGTTCCTCTAGTTTGGTCATTCTGAAGTCCACTGAGTTGACTTTGCATTTGAGGATTTTGAATATTTTCATCAGGTCTTCTTACAGTCTTGTCCGCTCAAGACTAAAAAGGTTCAATGCAGCACATTCCCCTCATTTCAGAAAGGGTAAGGAAAGCCACACATGAACAATTATGATAACAAAAGAACTGAAACTTGAAAAAAAATAGCTTAACTTTTATATCGGAATCACTCGAGTGAACTGAAGCACAACAAATTCCATTTACCCACAGAGCTCCGATTAATGCAGCCAGTTCATTTCAGCACATTCCCAGTTGTGTGGAATTAATCTACTTAAATCACTAAGTAGGAAGCAAAACGTGCTAGACTTAACTGTCAAGCAGGATACAATCTTAGAACAGCCCATTATAGGAGGCTGTAACAGAACAAGCCAAAAACTGGCACTGTTGAAACTGAAACACAACAGCATGAACACTGTCCATGTACAAGACTGCTTGCAAAAGAAGAAGAGCAGATAGTTCTGCTTAACAGCATTCACTCAAGAGAGTGACTGGTGAAGGTGTTGTTAATTAAGTATAAATAAGATCCCTAATTTCTCTCCTGTATACAGGTAGGTGTCACAGAAGCACTGGTGTTTATACACATCACAAATCTGACAACCATCCCGTCAGCTGAAATTGTACTCTTTACGTTAAGTGCTTTTCTCGGATAAATCAGAATGAAAAATTCAACATCATGGATTGTTGGGTTTATGCATGGTCTACAAAAGCATCTCCAAACCACAGCAGAGCTAGAGCGAATGATCCCTGGGGCAGGGACAACCATCCTGTCGGGTCAGACCTGAACACTGATGAGGTGCCAATACAATGGGATGATTGTTGCAAGTGGAGGACATGTCCAGAATTAATCATGTGATCTTTTACGTGGAGAAATGAATGTAACCAACTTGCCGCACGCAGTGCTACTTGTGGATGAAGATATGGAGTGTAACATATTCCTTGCCTCTCTCCTACAAGAGGACTTGAACTCATTTAGTGGTACACCTACTCGTATACCCAGGAAACAAAGAATGATTCAGTCTTCAGGATGGCCCTGCCCTCTTCCAGCAAGAGCAGAGCTTAATGAGCATCAAAAGAAAACAAAAGAGGGACACCACCCAGCCAGGCAGATCAGCAGAAATGTCTCCTAGAGATCACTGGGGAAGAGCTGTCAGTAACAGGTCACAGCTGAGGTTAACATAGGAGCCACACATAGTTAAGGCCAGCTACTTGATCAAGTAAAAAGATTGAAGAATAGGGAAACCTCATTATCTTCAAAATAATTATTCATTCTGTGAGCTTTAGCATCACAGAAAAACAACAACAGATCTGTTTTTCTTTCTTGCAACCCACATCTCACAGGATCTGAGCCCTGACTCCTTGTGCTATGGCCAATTCTTCCTCTTGTCATAACAAAGTAGCTGCCTTGAGCCAATTTGGAAAAAAGAAAACTCTGAAACAGCTGGTGAGCATTAACCATTGTGAGCAATGGGAACTGTCCCCTGTTCGCCTTTTCAAGACTTCATACTGAATCAACATGAGGGTTTCATGTAACGTGCCATCTTTTTTTGTTCCTAGTACAAAAACAGCCCCCACTCCCGGGACCATTAACAAACTGAGCTCATAGAGCTGAGCAAAAATGAGTTAAATTCCTTCACAAACTCACATTCGAAAATAGTATGCCATCAATATATACATCTGATCTCTAGTAAAATGCTCTGGTCCTTCGGCAGATTCCTGCCAAACAGTTTACTCAGACAGTGGTGATCCTGAACTTCAGAGCTCAGTCATAAATCATGCAGATACACACCAACAACGAGATCATGGAAACCTTCTGTGCCAAAGATATACTATACATATTAGCATAGCATAAGATGAACTTGCAAGATGCTTCCCCTCTTCTCAAAAGCACAAGGGCTAACCAAAGAACAGGGTTTGACCAAGAGCAAGCAATGAACTAAATCTGCTTCATGAGTCTGAAGATCTGAACGTGCCCAATCCCAAATGTCAGTCTGACAATAATGGTGCTGAACAGTACTATGCTTAACTTTTTGACTAAAGTCTTGTTTCCCTAGGCTCCATTCCAGTAAAGTGTCAACTCAAAGCCCACTCCACACTCCATTCACTTCCTCTTACATTCTTTTATTCCACAGTGACAACGAAAAGACCAGGATTTTACCATTCCCTCTCTAAAAGCCCAAGCACCGGCAAACAGAAATCAACATTTGTAACAAGACAATAATGACTGGAGTAAACTACTCAGCTTCCTTCAGACAAAATACTTTCCTCATTCTGTCACAGGCTTTTTTTTTTCCCCTCCCAGAATTCCCCGACCACTACTCCGCTGAGGAAATTAAGCCTTAATTTCACAACCACGGCTTAATTTAAATAAAAAAAAAATAATTTTCAATTTGTTAAAGACATTCATATCATACAAGCCATAGATGTGTTTTCACTTCATTGTCATGCATCTCTTGTAAACATTTGCAAAGGAAGCAATACAATTTGTTATTGAAATGGTCATATATTGGAACATTCATACGGGACTTTGAGTCTGTCATGCTCTATAAAGTGCTTCCAATATAAACTCTGAGTATTTGTATAAGTACATAACCAGATATGGTACCTTCCAGACCCCAAAGGATAAACAAATCACCTTGGTTGGTTACTTCAAAAGCTTTTGCCCCCTATTTTTTTACATTTAGAAACACAAAACATCCTTCTATTTAACCATTTAAAAAAAAAAACACAGGCTAGAACTAAGCAATATGGCTATATTCAATCAAGATCTTCGTGCAGCCGGAAAATAAAAGCTCAGAAGCTCAGCTGCTAACACTGAAAATAATTGCACACAACACTAAGCTTCACCTGAAATTAGTTTTTGTTTCTGAAAATTGTATTGAAAGCTGGTAATGGAAGAAAATGTACCAATTTGCAATAGTACAATAGAAAGAAGATTACTCACAAAGAAAGTATATGATTATATTACTAGGTCTCTACATTAATCACTGACTGGCAGCACAGCACTCCAATACAACAATACTGCAGCTCTAATGTCTATCAACAGCTGTTGTTTCTGTGGCAAAAATACAGCACTTGAGGAATCCCCGGAAAACACTCAACAATAAAGAAGAACGGCAAAGACAGGAACATAAACACTGTCTCCCTACAAATCTACACAAACAGTCTGTGGGATTTAACCATTTCCAAGATTTCGTGTTTGTAATCTGGGACAACTGTCAAGTAAAAAGATAGGTGAAATCGGCTTTTGAAAAAAGAAAATCATTCAGTACTTTTAAGTTCTTTATATAAAACAAAGCAAGAACAATGCTTAAAATTCGGTGTTTAGCAGTTTTCAACCTAGTATCTAGTAGCTTTATTACAACAGCTTTTTTTTTTTTACCAGAGCTGTTGACCAGGTTTTTAAAACAGAGACCCATTTGTGCTTCTCTTCTGATGAAGCACTTCAGCCTAACCCTCCGCAGACTGGGGTCAAAATGGAGGTTTCACACAAAATGAATGATAAAGGGGTGGCAGGAGGTCATAGGATATCATAGGACCTTGATCCAGGCTGTAAGACAGCTACAGGGATATGGTTATTTGAGGTTGAGGGAAACTGGGCTCAGTAAAAAAAATCCACCCAGGTGACTGGATTACTCAGCTGAGGCCAGAGAATAGCAGTGGAGGTGTAGCAGACCACGTCGCCCTCATGTGGCAAAAGTGACATGGTCATTCAAGAGGGCAGTTTGTGTTCAGGAGAGAAGACGAAGCTAGGTACATGTATGTTCTGGAGTCTTTTTCAACCTTGGTGAAAAACCTGGGCACACTCTCATGAAATGAAGCTGGTCAAATAGCCCTCATACCTTTCAAACACCAGTACAAATATTGCAAGCAAGTATGGTAATTCTTCGTGAAAAATAATGGATTTTGTTTTTCCAAGAACCATAGAAATTTGAAGAAATCAAAAGTTTCACATACCAGAAGTATAAAGTACAGACTTTATATTTATATTCTGAAAATTACAGCCATATGTTTCTGAAACTAACTGTGCTAAGCAAAATGAAAGAACCTGCCAAATTTAAACAGCATGAATGCGTAGGCGGTAACTTCCTGGTCATGTGGCAAAATCATCATTACTTTTCTGCTGGAGCTTCAGTCCTTCTGGAATCGGTCTGTTCAGCTCATCCCCATACGATTTCACTAAAAAAAAAATACAGTTTGGGCTACCAAAGGAAACAAAAAGAGAAACATTTTATCTTGTTTCCTTTGGTAACACTGGATCGGTCACAAAAGGCTTTTAAACCAGGTCAAAAACACTTTTCATCTAGGGGGAAAACACAAATCTACAGCTTAGAGCTTAAATTATTTTTATTTAACTTTAAATATTAAACACGGCATTAAATGATATGAACAAAATCATTGAATAATTTCTATTAAATAATGCAGGCATTCTTTGGTATCATGAGAACTACATAGAACTTTAAATTATAGCCAACCAGAAAAAAATGAAACTTTTAAAAGCACCTGCAAATACAAATATAACTTCACTCTTTTTTTTGCTTCAGTCAAGAAGTGGAACTCTGCATAAAACTTTAAATGAAAAATGTATAACAGTACATTTGTTATATTTTACAGCAGTTCAGCCATGGAAAGAAATCCATTAATATAATCATTAAATGGATAAACTTCTATATGACACTTTAAGCTACAACAAGAATACACCAGTCTGAATTCAAATTCAGCCTGAAATGGTTAAGGTCTAAACCAAATTTTAGGAGTTTACAAGAATGCCTGAGGTCAGGCGTTGTCCTGGTCAGTTCAAGGTCATAAATATTCAGTCTTCTAATATACTAGTACCGCATGGAAATACTGGGTTACATCAACATACTCCATTCCAAATGTGCTAGAGGGAGCATTTCACAGGGGGGTAGGATATGTTTGAAATTCAGACATTTACCAAGCCTTGTTTACACAGGAAACATAATCTTGCATACTTTCGTTATGGTGTTTCAAAAGTACAGAGAGACAATCATCATTCAGATCAAACTGCGTTTTGTCAGGGTCTGAAAAACAGATGGAGCATGAACATTGGAGACGAAAAGATAAAGATTATGCTTTAGTAAAATTGTGCCGCCGATATCCTAAAAGTGACTGGAGCCCATAATGTGCAGCTGGCTCACCCCGTTTAAAGTTACTCAAGTTTCCAAAAAGGAAGTTAGAGAACCTTCACACACAATAAAATATAGAACTAAAACATACGGCAACATTCTCACACAATGAAATCATTAAAAAGCGAAATTGCATATATTCTACGGTAAGCCGTCCTTACAAGCAGTGTTACAATCCATTCTTAGGCTTTGTCACAATCAGTCCTAATAATTTAAGTGACCTTAATAACAGTCAGTTGAACAATACATTAGAGAGCTGGCAGCGCGTACATTTCGAATTTGAAGAGATTGGAAAGTCTGGAACCTGAAACCTCAGATTCTTGAACATTTCAGAAATGTCCAAATGGAAAGAAAAATCAAAACCTAGGGAAATTGAAGTGTAATGTTAATTTATTAAAATACCTAATATAAAATCACACACAAATAAGGGCACTAATTCCTCTCTAATTCATAAGAAATCAAATCTGGAAGTCAGGCCCCACTGGAATTTGTGGTTTTACCAATGGAGAAATGTTGGATGTGAACACATAATGGACTGCTGACCTAGGCAAGTCAGCATCCACAGCTGCTTTTAAAAAAACAGCAATCACCTTTCGGCAAACGGAAAATTTCAAATTACAATGTGGGATCTAGAATCTAGATGCGACATGCCACAAAAGCACCCAAAAATTAATTTGAAATACTCTTACTGTAAAACAGTACAGAAAAGACACAGCGATTGAGAAACCGTCAGACAAACCGCCAGTCTGATTCACTTCACTCAATGCTGACATTCTCAAATGAAGTTTTCTTATTGCTGTGCACATGATCAGCCTGGTTTGTAAACAGGTTCTTAAATAAGCAAATGTTACATCAGTGAATCAACGTCTGTGACAGTTAATATCATAAGAGCAGGGAGAGTGACGTGGCACAGATTATGACTTCTGGTTGAATTGTTTTCCAGGAAAAGGCAGAGATTACATGTAGCTTTGAGGAATGTGCACTGCGGCAGCATGGAAGCCAAAACCATGTGAAGCTGAACTACTATTGTATCTGCACAGGCTTTGAGGAAAGACCTGAAGCCCATCACACCCGAAACAAGAACCATCGTTCTGTCCACATGCACATAGAAGGTGCTTCTGAACAGGTCTCCAAGATATGAAGTGAAATGAATAGAAACTGCAAAGAAATCAAAAGACTGTTTTGATTAAGTTTAGGACATTTAAGACATTGTTAGAGAACCTTGCAAACCATGTTCAGGAGCACTGTTCTGCCTGGTGCTTTCAGGTGAGCCAAGTCCTTCCTGTTTTTATACACGAAGAACACTAGATTGCTATGTGTAGAGTGGATAATGTGAACTAGTCTTTTGCCTGTGAACCACACAGCAGTTACCATCATCCCATCCATAATCAGCCTTAAATGTAACAGCCATCTGAACTGGACACTTTCCTTTACTGTGCAGTCCCCACCAATAACTGCATCTTCTACACTGAATGGCAATGCTGAGGTTTTTACCAGCTATTTCAAAAGGGAGCTCCGGACATTTTAAATTGAAAAGAAACTTTCTTTATTCACGATATCCATCCAACCATTTTCTTGCCACTTCTTCCATTTCAGGCTCACGGGGGATCTCGGCAAGCAACAGATGCAAGGTGGGATACACCCCGGAAGGGACGCCAGTCTATGGCAGTGCAGACACACACTCACACCTAGCGTCAGATTTCCCAGAAGCCAACCTACTAGTACTACCCTACTACCCTAACCTAGAGGAAACCCAACGACCACAGGGAGAACCTACAGACCCTGCACAGATAGCATTCCAAAATTGAACCCAGGGCCCCTGCACTCCAAGGCAGCAATACTATTTTCAGTATCATCATTATTTATTGTTAAGCAGTGTATTCACAAAGAAAAAGCAGATGAAAGAATATGCGGTTTGGAAACGGACTCTCTTCTGTTTTATAACAACTTAAACTGCAAAAGACAATAACGAAGACAGGTAAGAGCTTAAGGAACAAAGAGCAACAATATTAATTATGTCAATACTATATCACAGCCGGCCATTATTTCTCTGTTCAATATGCTAACTTCCCATTCACATGTCTTTCATTGTTTGAGAGCATGTATTGGCTTAACCTCCTACATGTCTGCATGAACTAAGGTTATCACAGGCTACACACATTGATCATTAACAAACAAATGCTGAACTCCCATTTTATCGTTTACCTCTCTACCTGCACCATAAGCGTTAAGTACAAATAACCCGGTTTTGCCTTTAGGTGAAAATTCCTTTCCCAGTTCCTATACTGGCGAGTATAATACCACGGCTGTGTTGTCACCTTCACCCGTCACCTGCTTCTGTGTTTCCTAAAACCCATTAATTGGTGCATTTGTTACACCACATATTTTAGGTCAGCTTTGAATGTCTTGCTTTGAAAATTAACAGTCCAGAATAAAGGTGCCTTTCGATTTCTTGACGCCCATAGAAACTAAGGGATAAATACAGGATATTTTCCAGGGCCTGACAAGAATGCTGGCAATGCATGAGCAGGACTCAAAAGGTCTTAGGAAAATAAAATGCCACAGCTTCTGTGCCAACACAGTTGCCTGACGGTACACCCTGCTGCCAGCAATTGTACAAGTACAAGTCCTGCTGGGGAAAAACTGATCCCTGTGCCATTCTGACTATAAGAAAGGCATACAACTGAGACCATCAATCAGACAACACTGAGACCAGAAATAAACGTACAGCATTAGGTAAGTCATCTGCAATATCTGCCAGACATGCTTAACTGGATACTTTAATCACTTGTGCTCCAAAAACTCAACCTGTCATTCCTTAATGACCACAAACCAGTCAAGCAAAAAAGGGATGCTTAATAACAAATCAGGCCAGGGCTGATTAATTTAATTAAAACGGCAAGGCATTTATAATAATGTCAACCAATAAAAGCCTAAAGAGTGTTCAGTTTCTCAGCCATAAGGTCTGTTGATTCAGTGTTCCTGGCAACTTCATCATTACATCTGAATTTTACTTGAACCAATTCTATGTAAAAGTGAAATCAGGCTAATTAATAAAGTAGGTTTAAATGTTAATTTGTAAACAAAAGTCATTGTTTAGTTTAGAAATTACTCCTTTGCAATTAATATTTCAGACAAAATGCATTAAGGATTAAACATTAGAAGCTGATACATTTCTGAAATGTGTGTTTTGATTACATGGCCCATTCACAGCTGTTTAAGGTTTTGCACCTGTTTTAAAAGTTGCAGTCGAGTGTATTGAAGGTTCTTCTTTAAATGTGAATAACGTAATTGCTGATTACTCTCCGTTTTACACATACATAAACCTAATAAGTTTTTTTCCTAATATAAAAACTGACATGAGATTTTGTGTCTTGATTTAATATCTTAAATTTACAGCTCCAAACCAATTAATACTCCATTTATTAAAAAGGTACTTCAGCGTCCTGTAACCTCTCAAACTAAACTAATGAAAAATTCTCTTTGCACTCCCTCTTTTTTTTCCTGTGATTCCTTGCTTGTTTTTTTTTTATCCCATTAGAAAGAAAGGCTCTTCTATATGTAGTGGTTTATACAGTGGGAATGTGGGCCTGGTAAAGATTAACCTACCCCCAGCAAAGAAAAGATTAACCTACCTTCCACCAAATTCCTCACCACCCATCTGCAATGAGTCCAGGAGACATATTCTTCCTTGGCAGACAACATCTGAGAACCTTAACACAGTATGTACTCTTGTTAAGTGTAAAGAGTAGTTTTCATATACCTACATTTTTTCATAAAGCTTCAAAATCATTTTGTTCTATTTTGAAATACAACATTTCCAAGCATCTTTCATCTGCCTCAGTCTTAATTTCCTGAACCAAGCCATACATGTACAATACATGGATGAACAAATGTGAAAACATGTCCAAAACAAATACTTGTTAGACTGTAACAAATAAACCAATTGATTTTTATTCCTCTTTTTTATTTCTGACAAACATAATTCCTCTCAATACATACCATTTCAACAGAGCACATTTTTAATTACAG